CTTGTAGTTATCAAATTACTTTGATAAAGTTCTATTGGCAATGAGTTAATTATTGGAATAGTCAAGTAAATAAAATGTTAAAATACAAACAATTAAGGATAATTTAAACACACTAAAACAGAAAACACTTAGAAGGGACGAAACAAACATTGAATTTAAAAGGGGAAGGACTTTATTGCACTACATCGTAGTCTTGGGCACAATGAGTTTTTTTATGTTGTATCTATTAAAAAAAAAGAGGTTAATCTTTGTAAATGGGTATATTTATTTAAAAAACCCTTAAAAGGGCCACATCAATAAAACAAACGTTTTCGGACCACACAGTCCATCATCAGGTTTTTAAAATCGAAAAATGCTAGGTCACAATGCCTGACCCACCAAAATACTAGGGTAAAAACCCTTTAAATTACATTTAGTTATGAAATATTGTACATTGTGTTGTAAAATAACTGTGATGTTCAGTATTAAATTAAACTCACAGAACATCACAGTTCCCAGCTGTTCTCCGAGTGTAGAGGTTCTCTCTCACCGGCTCTGGAACCAGATTGAGCCATGTGTTACCTCTAGTCAAATTTAATTTAATACTGAACATCACAGTTATTTTACAACACAATGTACAATATTTCATAACTAAATGTAATTTAAAGGGTTTTTACCCTAGTATTTTGGTGGCTCAGGCATTGTGACCTAGCATTTTTCGATTTTAAAAACCTGATGATGGATTGTGTGGTCCGAAAACGTTTGTTTTATTGATGTGGCCCTTTTAAGGGTTTTTTAAATAAATATACCCATTTACAAAGATTACCCTCTTTTTGTTATACGTGGTATACAGCCAGCTACAGGAATTTTTCCTTGTGGATTTTGTATCTATTAGATTTTAGTGGTAAATTTGACAGATGTAGGTTAGCATGTGACAGTTCTTCTTCTTTTTCTCAATACTGTAAGTTAAGTTATCTAGTTTCATGAAATATGCTGTTATTAATGAATGTCTATAAAATTGTTTCAATTTAGATATCAAATTTTATAGACATTCATTAATAACAGCATATTTCATGAAACTAGATAACTTAACTTACAGTATTGAGAAACAGAAGAAGAACTGTCACATGCTAACCTACTTCTGTCAAATTTACCACTAAAATCTAATAGATACAACATAAAAAAACTCATTGTGCCCAAGACTACGATGTAGTGCATTAAAGTCCTTCCCCTTTTAAATTCAATGTTTGTTTCGTCCCTTCTAAGTGTTTTCTGTTTTAGTGTGTTTAAATTATCCTTAATTGTTTGTATTTTAACATTTTATTTACTTGACTATTCCAATAATTAACTCATTGCCAATAGAACTTTATCAAAGTAATTTGATAACTACAAGTTGAAAATAATTGCACACCCACACAATTTTTACATCTAAACTTATTCATTGTCATAAAACTGTCACCTTCATAAAACAATTACTCAATAAATAACACACATTTCAAAAATATATCCTTCGAATAAGTATAAATAGCTTTTAATAACACAATGGTATATTACATCACTTACATTTAACAAACAATCTCACACATATCTCTTCTTCATTGGATCAAATCTATCTCCTCAAGAACTTCCCGTTTACTGTCAAACAACTGCAATAATAGAATTGAGTTCTCCATTCAACAATAAAAAGTAGTTTCAACCATGTTCTATCCTCCATCTATTAATAGAGTACCGGCATGTAAGTAATGTTTATTTTATTTATTTATTTGCTCATTTATTAATTTATTACAATCGAAGAGACTATTTCATAACAATTTGTGGGCCTTACCTTGTCTGTTTAAACTTTTTAAAAATTTTATACCTTTTATTCAACTTACTCATTTAAATAAAACCACAGACATGTAATATTGGCATAATTATTGTAATTTACAACATCTACTTTGTTATCGTTATTAGACAACACCCTAATATGGGTTTTTATTATTTCAGCATTTGTTTAACTTTGTATCGAGACCTGAGGATGCTTTGCATATTGTAAAAAGCGAAACCGGTCGTCTGATAGTTAAATTAAATTGATTGTGAGTAAGTCTTATTTATTATTTTTTTATCTATTTATTATTAAAGCGTTTTGTATGCATAATTGAAATTTATAAATCTCTTTCTCTCCATCTTCATCTTACTTTCTCGATAGAGAAAGATAGAGAAAGCCAGATAAAGTGTCGTTTCCTGAATACACTTTACAACAATAATTGAAAGAACATTTGTAGATATTGAGAATTGAAGAACGTTTATAGAGATCCCGTGTTTACCATGTCTAACTATAAATTGTTTTTCTCTTTTAATATTACACGACTTCCTCCTTGCGTGTACCTACTGATCCTGTACAATGTTTACCACAGAGGAAATAATTCAAAGAACTTGTTTTAATCATTCCAGTCGACAAGTATTCATTAACTTAATGAATGGATTAGTAGTAGGCAGCTCGGTTAGCTGGAAACACCTCCACTTCTTAGAAATTAAAATTCAGTTTAACGTCGCCCACGAAAAAAAGCGGTTATGTATTTATAACTTCCATCGAAGAGAATGTTTCACAAATATGTAGGTATATGAATTGAAATGTGCTGGATAGTCTACACTGTGCGGCAAAAAAAAATGAAAACCGATATGAAACGTATCATGAAAACTCGTCGTATGCAAGCTTCATAAAATTTAAGTAAGTTAATAAAATATAATAATTTTATATCGTCTGTATGCATATAGCATAACTCATCTTTACAATTATACTATTTATGTACACTTCATCTAATTTATATAACGATGCACGTCATCGGCGTCATAGCCTGTGACGTCATATGATACCAACACAAAATATTTAGGGTGTAGGTGTGTTCTTTTTTAGAATCACTTTACCAAGTACACTTTCATTACAGCCACTAGTCATATTTTATTATATACGCGTAGAAATAATATTTAAAAATTTCTATTAATGTTAACTTAAAGAAATACACAATAATATGTTTCAATTAATTTGTATAAATGCATTATAAATCGTTTTTATCAAGAGCATTTGTTCGGAACACACTGTAACTGTAATCGAACGAAGGTAAAATTTTGGCATAAATTGGTAACACTTATTTGACAGTTGCGGTGTTGACACTTTTTGTACTTCATTATTTTGAATTTTAAATTGAATATCTCTTGTTTTATATTTTTAACTATTTAATAAAATCTGTTCTTTTTAGAACAAAATTAGTGTGTTTTATTTCAAAAATGTCACGTAAGAATTTAAATAGTCGTTGTAAAGAGATGGTAATACTTTTGCAATAATTATGTAATCTATTTTATTTAAAATGGAGTCAGGATTTTTTTATATTTTGGCAACTATGTCAACTTCGATCTCTGACGTAGATAATGACGTAAGTCGTTATCTAAATTAAATGAAGTATAAGTTACTTGGTTTCGTCTCTATGGATTCTTCTTCTTTCGGTGCCAAATTAGATACCTTAACGTTTGCAATCCGGGGTGTAGGGTTGTGTTATAGAGGTAGCACTTTTTATTGGAACGACCTCATCGAGCGTCATAGACAGGAGATGGTTCTTGATAACTGGTCCTCATAAGACACCTAACTCTCTCTTATGGCTCCAAGTGCCACACCCTGGACAACTGCATTGGTCTGCAGGCTAAACTAGGTGAGGGTAGTCCTATAAGCAATCCCACACTTTCTAATCAACGGCTCTGGGCGGAAGAATTGGTAGGTGGTAGGGACCCTTTTTGTCCTGGAGTTGAGAAATCGGTCTCGAAGTTGGAGGAACCAATATCTTGGTCAACGGCATATGGATGTAGAAAGCAATGCGAAACCACTACATTAAAGATCCCCATGGATATCCCTAATACAACCATCATGGTTTTAGAAACTAATAACGACGTTACTGATCATGGCCGTCGTAAGCCAAGATCCGGCAGGGGAGAAGAAGACAATGACTCTCAGGTCGTTAATCAGCGAATTTCTTGTCAAAAGAACGTAGATGATAAAATAAGACTGTCCAACACTAGAATAGGAACCTGGAATGTTCAGAGCATGTTTCAGTCTGGCCTAACTCAGGTTGTTTTTCAACAGACGAAGCCACAATATATTATTCCGGTAGCGAGAATAACCAACACAGACACGGCGTGGTAGTAATAGTTAATAAAAAATCTAATAAAGCGGTGAAATGCTGTTTCCCTATCTCAGAAAGGGTAATGGTACTGAAGTTGGTGACATTTCATGCCAAACTGAATTTGCCGACGTGTGAAATTTGCCGATTTAGGCACTTAGAATAATGAAAACAAGAGAAATCACGATAGTCTTAGGTGATCTCAATGCAAAGATTGGAAAGGGACAAAGCGGAAAGTGTATAGGAAACTATGGTCTGGGAAATCGAAACGAGAGAGGACACCGTCTGTTACAATTCTGTCAAGAGCAGAACTTGATTATTACAAACACATTTTTCAAGTTACCAAACAGCAAATTGAACACAAACACCAATTATATTGACGAGTACTGACACTAAGATCGACTAAAACATTACGTCTACTGGAACCCTGTAAAGACTTCCGCAAGAAGTAAAAGAAAAAACAAGAATAGATGAATATCGAGATGCTCAATATGATGTAACAATAATAAAGCATACAAAAGAAAAATACTTTGAAGAGAAATGTAAAGAAAGAAGAAATGTATGATCTAGTCTAATATTTTAGCCTGAGAAGAATTTAAAAAAATACCAATACAAGTATACATCCAAGTAGAATAATCCAAAACAAACATTATTATGATGGATGAATATAAGAATAGACAGATGTTGCTGAAGCAAGACAACAAAGTGTATAACTGGATAAATTGTCAAGGACATAGACCAAAAAACGTATCAGAAGAAGAACAGTTGTGTTGTAATTTGTGATTCTAACCTATCTAATTTTTAGCAACAGACAACAGAACATTTTTGCTGATTATTTTTCTTGAATTTATTTATTTATTCGTTTTAGTTATGGAGGTTAAACTTGAAATTAAGGAAGAGTTAGAAGAAAATGAGCAAAAATATGTGGTGCCTCAGCTGGCAATAAATCTCCAAGAATGTAAAAGTGAAACAGGTGAGACAAATAATAGAAACTGGGTAATTATAAAGAATGGGTGAGATTTCAACAACATAAAATGTATACCAATGGATTCTGCTTTATTTAATGATGAATTTACAAAGCATATTATTCGGCGCTATGTGAATGTACAATTTAGAAAGCTGAGTATTTGAACTAAACTAAGTTTTTTGTCATGGCTTAAATTATGCAGTTTTATTTTGGTAATAAACTGCATGTGACTAACTTTTTTACTTTAAGTTAAATAATTAATATTGGCTATGAGCAAGTCTACACTGGCTGAAACCTTATAAAATTTTCTATAAACAATTTGTTCAAAGAAGTATTTTAAGTAATCATATGGGAGTTTACACTGGAGAGACACCTTACAAATGTGAAATTTATGATATTCTGTATCATTATGGAATTATTGCTCAATGTTACACTAAAAACACCCTGTATATATATACTATATCATAATTCATTTTTTTTATTTTAGATTTTGTGCCGAGTGAGAGTAAAATGGAAATTTTGAAAGAATTACCTGAGCAATTGTGCAAGAAAGAAAAGTATGACACAGAGGAAAAGATATTAAAATGTGAAATTTGTTTTCAAGAATTTCCTCAAAAAAGTAATTTAAATATTCATATGAGAATTCACACTACTCTTGAAAAATCTCATAAATGTATTATTTGTGAAAAGCAATTTTTACGAAGGGCTACTTTATATCAGCATCTGAAAGTTCACACTGGAGAAAGACCTTATAAATGTGAAATTTGTTTTAAACGGTTTGCACTAAAAAGTACTTTACAGTATCATGTGGGTGTTCACACTCGAAAAAGACAATATAAATTAGAGGCCTTATAAAATAGAAATTTGTGTTACAACAATTTACTCAAATAAGTGCTTTAAATGATCATGTGAAAGATCTTGTCTTTTTGCTCGATGGAAAGATTACACTGGTGAGAGACTTTACAAATGTGAACTTTGTTTTAAACTATTTTCTCAAAGTCTGAGAGGAAATCTTTAAGTTCCTGTTTTGAAGATGAACTGTTAGGAATTTTTTGAGAAGCCTTAAGTGGTAGCTAGCATTGTCCATAACTATCACACTGCCCAGTGTTGTATTGGGAAGTAGTGTATTTTTAAACCACTTTTAGAATAAGGTAGAATTCATATTCTGATGATAATCTACACTACATTTTTCTATTTTTTTTTTCTGAAAATCTTTAACCCATTTGGCACCCAACCATTTACAGATCCACAGTACATAATGATCATCCGAGAACCTTTATTCGGAGGTATTCCTTTCAACTGGCACCTAAATGAACCATCAGTCCAACCCTTACTAGCGGTATCATACGTGTCATACCATCTCTCGTCTAAATAATATATAGTCCGCTGTTGGTCTCGATATTCTTGATTGTTCAAATAATCTAAACTCCAGTGTACTATCCTCTTTCTTTCCCCTAAAGTGGTTTTAGGGCTGCTTCTTCCTATCGCAACAAGCTTGGTGTATTTAATATCAATTGTTGGTATTACATTTTTTTTGTATTCGTAAACCAAATTCCTTAAACATTTAGCAGTCACGATATTAATTTGTATAGGTTTTCCAGCATCCGATCTTGTTTTTCTCTTTTTAACACCACTTTTCATGATGTTGTGCATGGTAGAATACGGAATTCTTGTTAGAAAAGCCGCTTTTCTTATAATACTGCCTTTACAACTATTTTCAGGATCATTTTGAAGATTTTTGTAAACGTTCGTACAAATTATCTTAGATTGTTTATTCAAAACAATCCTTTTCTTTGGAACACTTTTCTACAGTTACAGTCTCAGTGTCATTGTTTTTTGTATCACTTACACTTAAAAGATTGTTGACTACTACACTTTCTCTGCTACTACTTGGGTTCTCTTGCTCCCATGCACGAATAACTATGGTGATTTTTTCCATGGTCTAAACATATTCTTTATACACAAATAGACAGTCTCAAAAAAACAAACAACAAAAAAAAATACTACAATTATTATAACTACTCACAACAAAATTTCAACGCAACTCAAAATTTCATGGCAATTCAAAAAATTTTGAATGAGTCTGATAAATTTCATGTGTATAAGAGGATAGATTGATATTAAACTAGCCTTTGATAGATGGCACTGCTTGATACCGAATTAGAGGAGCGTCTAAAGTCACAGTCTTGCTCCCTGCTTTGCGCATGAGTGTTTTCCAATGTTGCCGTTTCCGAGATAGTTTGTTATACGTCATTGGATTTTACCAATTTAGTTGTTGATTGATAGACGAATTGATAGAGTTTTCGAATATAATTGTGTTTTTGTTTGTTATGTTTTTGCGTTATAATTTTAAACTTGGTGAATATGGCGATAATGTGTAAATATTGTCAAAAAGTATTTACTTTGCAAAGAAATTTGAACAGACATTTAAGAACACTACATTGTGATACAGAAAAAAACATTAATGCTTACGAATATGGTGTTCATGTAAATAAATGTTCCGAGGGTTGCAATTTATCATTTATGAATATTACGCAATTAAGGGAACATTTAACTCAAGTTCATAATACTTCTTTTTCTGAAGAAATTTTACATTTCAATAATGTAGAGGGTACATTTATAAATTTATCAAAATTAAGCTACTTTGGTTTGCTAATGGCTTTCTTTCAGATTTTGAATTGTGGTTAAATGAAATAAGCAAAACAAAACATCAGGAGTATGCTAAACGAACTACGGACAAAATAAGTGAGGAAATTGTTGTAACATATTATAACTGCAACAGAAGTGGTAAGATATTCTGGCTATAACGGATATGGTTTAGGTATTCTATAAATATATTTTTCTAGGTATTAATCAAGATATCAAGATAATATTAATCAAGAAAAAGATGTCAAATATGTACCTGAACATTATGGTCATGTAACCGAACTTCAGCATTTAAGGATTTCACAATCCAATAAATTAGAAATTGCTGAAAAATTAGCTATAGCAGTTCCTGCATCAAAGTAAATATACTTATTTTCAAATAACCCATTTTTAGTATTTATGTTATTAATTAATTTTGAAGTGAATACTTCTTATGGCTCGGTATGATGTTTTGTACGGACCCGAAATCCTATTTAGCGTAAGTCGAAAAATCGAAACGCGTGTAGTAACCTTGCGGTATACCGTATAATATACATACATATACACCTTGGACGTATAAACATAGAATATACACTTATTACAGGATTATTATGTTTATCTGAATTACCTGAAATTATCTGAAAATAAAAATAAATTATGAAATAAAATCGAATTAAATCTAATCTAATATGATCTAATCAAATTAAACTATGTGGAGCAGTAAACGCACTCCCAAATCGGTGTTTTTTGTTAGATGTTGCAGACAAGTTTTTTAGTTTTTTAAGATATTTAGAAAAAATTGAATTTCTGACTTTTGTTACGTACTTTAGTTATCATACATTTATGAATATAGGTGTACATATATATATATATATATATATATATATATATATATATATATATATATATATATATCCAATATATGATGCCGATAGATGTATTCACTTCTCTTGGCACTTCCCAAGTGCCAGGCTATTTTTACTTATTGTTTTAGAATTCTGGAGTCTGTCAGGGAAAATATAGAACCATCAGTGTTAAAAAGAAAGGATTTGCTGACCAGAAAAGATATTCATAATATAAAATGTACATATAATATCGATATTAACAGTGGAGTTAGACATTCCATTGATAGTGTGAGTGTTTGTTGTTGGGTCGAAGAATTTCAGAAAAAAGGATCTAACACTGTGTTTTATAAAAGTCAGGGAGCTGAACATGATTACTTAAATAAACATGATCTATGTTTAATTTTCATGAATTCAACTCAAGAATATATGTTGAAAACTTATGGTAATGGTGGTGTTATATGTGTTGATAGTACACATGGGCTTAACAGCTATGACTTTGAACTCACCACAATATTAGTAGTTGATAATTGGGGTGAAGGTTTTCCCACAGCCTGTTTATTTACAAACAGAAAAGATTCTGAAATTTTTAAATTCTTTTTTGATAAAATTAAAGAAAAGGTTGGAATTATCTCAGCCAGAACTTTCATGACGAATATAACGAATGTTTTTTATAATGCATGGTCTGCAAGTATGGGTGCTGTAACTTATCAGATATTTTGTTCCTGGCACATTGAAAGAGCCTGGACATCTAATTTAAATAAAATTTTTGACAAAGAAAAACGAGAAAAGGTACATGTAGCTCTAAAAGTTATTCAGACTGAACTTAATGAAATTAATTTTCTTAAGGAAATACAGAATTTTGTAAATATGTTACAGAACGATCCAGATTTACTTATGTTTGGAAAATATTTTGTCGATAATTATATAAATAGATGTGAACAGTAGGCATATGTGTATCGTAAATCAGCAGGTGTCAACACAAACATGCATTTAGAGTCTATGTATAAGTGCATTAAATATTTTCAACTTGATGGGAAAGTTGTTAAAAGGTTGGATAAGGGAGTTCAAGCCGTAAATCTCTATATTAGAGACATAATTATTGATCGCATGATCAAGCAAATCAAAGGAAAAGACACAAATCATTTGAGAAATATTGAAAAGAGGCATGAAATAGCATTCAAAAGTTCTTTCCAAGTTAGTAATAATTATGAAAATGTTTGGTATGTAATAATAATGGACAGCAATATATTGTTTTTAAGAAACCAACGCACATTTTATCTTGTTGTGAATTAAAGTGTGTTAAATGCAACATTTGTATTCACACATATGAATGTACTTGCGTTGACTATTTTATAAAGGGAATCATGGGCAAACATATTCATTATATTGCTGTACCACAAAATAAAAGGGACAATGATACTGAAGTAAATGTAATTCACTCTAAGAGTATCAGCAACAGTACCATCGGCGAAACTGAATTACAACCAGGTATAATAGGGCTCATTACATAGGGCTATACAAAGGACAAGTTAAACGGGACTTGATCTAACTCATGTTGATGACAGTATAGTAGAACATGCTTTAAAAGTTCACAGGAACAGCATAAATTTATTAAAAAGTAATCTACACCATGACATGCAATCTGCTGTAGTTATAAACAATAAAGAACCAGCAAATAAGAAAATACGGAAGCAACAAAGCTTTTATTCTACTAAGAAAAAAAGAATGCTAAAAAAACCGAATATGCTACGAAACAGTGAGTTGTCCTCAATGAAATCCGTTTTATTGTCCGAAAAATACATTTTAACAAACCCTTCTGATGAACATAATTATGTAAAAACTGATATAATTTAATTACAGTGTGTATATATTTTAATAAAACTTTTTGTAAAAACGTTTTTTTCAAAAATTTATGTTATTGTATCTATCCTTACATTCATTTTAATTTATTCATGCGAATTTTCACTTGTACACATGGTAGGTGAAGTATGTCTTTCAAGGGAAAGTTAAACTTTCATCAATGAGTTATCCAAATAGATCTTTCAGGCTTCCTATATAAAGTAAATCTAAGTAAACCTTCATATTACTCTTTCTGCTTTTTAATATATTTGTTAACGATTTACAAACGGTAGTTAACTCCGATCAATTTCTATTATTCGCTGATGACATAAAAATCTTCAGATCTATTGCTTGCCTCTTTGATTGTGAATGTTTACAGTTGTCCTTAAATAATTTTTCACGTTGGTGTGAAGTAAATGTTTTAAACTTAAATCTAAAAAAATGTTTTAAAATCACATTTAGTAAAAGGCAGGCTTCTTTTAATAATAATTACACACTTAATGGTATTGTTCTGCAAGAGATACGTCAAGTACGTGATTTCGGTATAACACTGGATAGAAAACTGAGCATTAATGATCATATTAATGACATAACTTCACGTGGCCTTAAAATGTTAGGATTTATCCAGAGAAATTCAAAGGCCTTTTCAGTTTTTACGTTTAAAATATTATACTGTTCGCTAGTGCGATCAATTATAGAATACTGCTGTATTATATGGTGTCCTTTTTATAATACCCAGAAAACTCAATTAGAAAAAGTTCAAAACAGATTTTTAAGGATATGTGGTTATAAAATGGGTAAGACGTGGATATTATAATTACAGTTATATTCTTAATCAACTTAAAATGAACAAATTAGAGACAAGAATTCGAATTATATTTTTTACATAAGCTTCTAAATGGATTTATTAATTGCCCTGAAATTTTGGGTTTAATCTCATTTAATATACCTATGCGAAGAACCCGTAATTCTGACCTGTTTTTTGTAGATTTCCATTCTACTAATTATGGAGCTAATGAAGTTATTTCTAGGATGTTACGTACGGCAAACAATTACCAAACAGGTTTAGAATTATTTAATACTTCAACTGCATCATTTAAAAAACTGTTGTAGCTAGCTTATATATTATATCTTACTGTATTTTATACATATTGTACACAAACTGAAAAAGGGTTTAGGCCGTCAATAAATAAATAAATATTACTATCTAATTAGATTACAGCCCCAATAAGGAAAAAGAAAAAAAACTCAGCAGTATTATTTCTACTTCAATTATAAACTTCATATTGAGAAACGTGTTTTCGTTTTTGAAATTAAGGAAGTAAACAATATACCTCTATTCTATCAAATTCTATTATGAATCAAACTCAAACAGCTGACATTTTAAATTTCCTGGAGATGTCAATGTCACAGAACAAATAACAATTGTTTTCTGTCCTGTGTTAATGTGATAATATGGAAAGTTATAACCACCGAACAACGGCGGTTATAACACGGTGTTCGGTGGTTATAACACAACAACCATAGATAAATAATATATGACGACAACGTTGTAAATATTTTGACTCAAGCGCAAAGTAGAGAGCACCACGCACCACTGTGTCTTTAGCCCATCGAGCAAAAAGAGAAAAGAGGGAATGTAGAGGTAGTGGGGGCAAAAATATTGTTAGACAGGAAGTGCGATCTTTAGAGGAAATAGAGTCTCACATTAAACAAGGAAAGAGAGTCTCACATTAAACCTTGTTTGACATAAAATTTAGTTGGGTTATGTTACTGTTTGTCCCAAATGTCACATGAAATCTTATTTATATTGAAGTTTTTTAACAATTGTGTCGCATTTTAGACTATTACCGTTAATAATTAATTAAAACTTTCTCGTCTAAGACATATTCTGAAAAATATTATATAGTTACTGTTAATAAGTGTCGGAAAATTTAAATTTGGCGCATTCGCATTTCCGGATATGTCCGCCATCAGAGGCCACTTTTTTGGTCTCCTTTTTATAAGGATTAGACTCTCTCTTTTGTCTTTTTGCTCGATGCTTAAGCCGCTCCTCCGAATTAGTTTCGGTGTTGACATTTGCCATTAATGACGTCTGTCAAAATTTTAAGTTTTAAAAACAATGGACCGCCGGAGCGATGACGTATATTTGATCGACAATCTGTCAGTTTCACTTTCCAAACAAACATTGTTTAGTGTGGATAATTTGTATTTTTCGTTATTTTTTAATTTTTTTTACAGAATCCTTCCGCTTTTTGTAATATTTAAGTAATCTAATAGTTACTACAACAATTTTACAAGGTTGTGTAAATAATAAAGCTTGTTTTTTTTATATAAAAATAACAATAAAATGAATGCGTCAATAAAGTAAGGTTAGAATTTCTTTAATGTATACTTTTAAACTCTATTTCATAGAAATAGAACACTGAATTGTGATGGTATTATCGTAAAAACACTATACTTAAAAGAAAAAGTAGCAGAGGAAGCAAAATGTTAACTTTATAGAAATTAAAAACTCTTGAGATTTGGCATTTCAACAACAACAATATGACAGATGTGACGTCACACTACTGCTGTCCATTAGTTTGGTTTTTACAGAAGATCTGCAAAAGCA